TCTGTGCTCAAATTATTTGGGGTCACAGAGGTTGAGGGATCACGCACTGCAAGCCAGAGTGAGTCACTGCAAGTGAGTCACCCCGAGCTGACCACATGGGTAAGTGTATCACAGAAATGCAGGAGAGCCTCTCCCTGGGCAAGGGAAAAAACAACAAAAAAGTGGTTACTCAGGTGAGTGCTTTGAGAAGTACCTGCCTAGTCCTCAAGCCCTGAGAGAGGTGGGACAAAATTGTTGAGCAGTGAAAGCACAACCAGCATTACAGCAAAAGGCCTCATTAAGAAAGAGCGAGTCAGTCTTTTCTTGTGGGCAACACCTGTGTAACTTTAGGGTAATGGGAAATCCCTCGGTAGATTTTGATGCACCAGCCCCCAAAATCCAGCTCTGAAGCTCTCTGTAATGAGTGTGCAGGATCCTACCAGGCCCTCACATGCAGCATCAAAGCAATGCAGCTAGTTTTATTACAGATGTTTATGAAAACTATCACAAAAGTGGCATGCCACTGCCAGCTGGACTTTTGCCAAAGGAAGCTCTGCTTAATTAGGTCAAGAATTATTTGGTTAGTGGCACAGACACTGTTATATATAGTTTTCAGTGTCCACACAGGAGTTCTCATTAGCAGGACACAGGGAAAAGGGATGGAAGAGAATGAAAAAGGTCACCAAACTCCTGCGAGAGGCAGCCAAGTTGATTCAGTAGTATTTATAAAGCCAAGACTGACACTTGGACCATTAAACATTTCATTGTTTAAGCTGAAGAAAAAATCCTCAGAGTTTTTGCAAGAGGGCTTATTCTTGTCCAAATAAGCAAGGACATCCCTTCCATCAGAGCATTACATTGGGAAGAAGAAAGGAGAACAGAGCAGACATCGCCTCAGGCTAACTTCACACTCCACACCTTAGGGTGGGCCACAGGGGAGTCTCCTTTGGTCTCCAACTTCCTGGGAGTGAAAGCCAGGAGGCAGATGGAGTTGCTCAGAGATGTCTGACTCACTGCAAAGGCTGCCGGACAGAACAAGCAAAATCAGATATCACTGTGCAAGCACTGTGGGTGGGTTCAGGTGATCCTGCTGTAAATCACAGTCGGCATTTGAAAGGGTCAGAATCAATTATGTCTGCATTGGTGCAAAAGAACAGCCAATCCAAACTGCACAGGATTTGCCAAAGTACGCAAGGAGTCAGGAAGAGAGTTAAGTGTATTTGGTGCCACCACCCAGAAGTAACAGAGATGGTCTTAGGAATAGGGGACCCCTGTGTCTCTCTCAGAAGATGAGTGGCACACTGGATGCCAAATACAAGCTTTTGGTAATGCAAAGTTGAAGGTCCAGGCTGCTTCCTCTGCAGACTTATTCTTACACTTCGTATTGGTTTAATGACTGGGCAGATTGCTCTTTTGTTACTGCATGGAGTTAGAAAGAGGAGGATGTGTTGTGAACCATGGATAATAGAGGCACTGGCCAGAGGAACTTCAAAGGGGAACAAGCTCTAGGCTAGCAAGAAATGAAACTTTGCAAATCTTCCCTTTCTATGCAGTCTCCAAATAGACCACCAGCCACACCGTTCTAACCTTCTCCTGTTGGGACAAACAAGTCTTCCTCTTCCATCTCCAGGTTTTAGCCCACTGATCAAAACTTCTCATTGCCAGCTCAGCATTCTGAGGCCTCATCCACGGAAAAAAACCTGACATTGAAAGGAAATGTCAGCGACAGTACTTCAATCTCTTCCCAGACACCATCCATTGTTTTGGGTGCATCTCCCACCTCACTCCAAGAAGTTTCTGGGGCAGACTGAATCTGAATGCATTTAACTTAATGTATTTAACATGCTGTAGCTGCCCCTCCTGTCCAGAGGCAACCTCTTTCCTCTCTTTTCTCTGCAGCAATCACCACACAAATTCAGGCTTTCATCCAAAACCTTGCCTACACATTATAGCTGAGAAGTGAAACGCATGAGAGCTCTGTGGGTTTCCTGTTCTTATAAGCCCCCTTTAGTAAACTGAGGTAAAGGATAGGGGAAGAAAGTATTTTCTTTCTGTCACAAAGGCAACAACAGAGAAAATGGCAATCATCAGCGGGAAAGCCAACTACCTGAAGCCAACTAGGGATAGCACCCATTAGCAGTGAGCTGTCAGCTCCACCACCCCAGGAGGTAGACAGCCTGGACACTTAAAGCAATCTCAATATTTTCACGTACTGTAACCTCACACTGTGTATTAGGGAATATGCTCCTCTTCTTCATCCCAAGGCATCAGGCTGTAATATCCTCAAACAAGTTTATCAATAGATGAAGTCACTGAGATGTGATGAGTGAGCCTGTCCAGCTTGATGTCACAGGTACAATCCAGCCCTCATTAAGGAACTCGAATCAGCTTTTTCTAATCCTACCCCACTTGGTCACAGTCCATTAATAAACCATGTAAGGACACACAGCACCAGGCTTCTAGAGAAGCTCGGCAGGCTGCACCACTGCTGCAAGGTGAGGACACACGGTGACAGTGGCCACATCCTCACACACTACTGTTGGAAGGTCCAACACCTGGAAAGGCAGGCAGCTCCTGCTGCTGCGTGATGCTCACGTTCACTGGGGGAGAAGGGACGATGCATTCTGCTGCTGAACACAGGGAAGAATGGTGGCGGTTGCCCAAGAACAACAGTTGCCATCCCTGCTCCCCTCTTGCCTCTGGTGGTTGCGGAAGCAGTGGGCTGGATTCCTCCTGCGGCTGTGTTTCCCCTCTTCCCATGGCAGGACACAGTTCAAACCAGCCCCTTTTCCCTGGGGAGGCTGAGTTCTATTGGGCTACGCTGCTGGAAGCCCTTGATCCAGTTCTGGGAAATCCCCACAGCTCCACTGTACTGGGCAGAGGCAACCAACTCCTATGATCCCCTGAGCTCCGGGCTGCCAAGAAACTCCTCTCCATACAAGTCTCATCTGGCTTTTCAGCATGGAGCTCTTTTGACTGAAACCGCAATACTTAACATGCTTCAATGATCAAGCGGAGGGCACGGGAATGTCACTGAAAACACTTGGCTTCCAAACACTGCATTGTTCTTCCCTTACCCCATTCACAGATCCCAACCAGAACATCCCAATCAAGCTCTAAATGTTTTCTAACAAATCCAACAAGGAGCACCAAGTGCTATTTGATCAACCGAACACACACGCGCACCCACGCTGGCATGAAACCCATACGCCCCATAACTCCACCATTGCCCCGCCTCTGCCCCCAGGAGCAGCCTTGTGGAAGTGTTTCCTCCCTCCTCCATGCTGCCAGAGTCCACCATACACAGCCCTGGCCAAACTGGCCCCTGCTCCACCAAAGTCTGCCAAAAAGGCTGACCTTGCCCAGCACGCATTTCCCAATTCCCAGTGACAACAATGCAGCTCGATGTCACCATCTGTCCACCAGGCCTGGGTGACGTTTTCAGCCTCATGCTCCGCTGGTCCTACCCAGCACCAAAGACCTCTGTCCCAAGACCTATCCCAAAAGTCTCATCTCCAATGTTCTGGTTATATCAAGTTCAAGACATGGCAGGGACAAGCACATGGTGGCCATGGCTCATCTGAGGGAAAGGCAGCGTGGTAGGAGTCGTTCCTAGGAAGGCTGCATGAGTAATTTAAGAGAGAGGGAAAGAAAGCAAGCTAATTAAAGACGTGATAAAATCTCAACAGTTTTAGCCACATTGAATATCCAATTAGGTCTATGAAGCCTTTGGGCCACAGCTGTGGGAAGGGATTCTGTGTCTGGCAGAGAGGGACCAACACCCACCGAGAGCCTCGGGAGCAGCCAAGAAACACCAGTTATGGCTCTTTTTTGGTTACTCCTCCCCCAGGCAGCCCTGGGACAACAGGCCCAGTGCCTGCAGCCTTGGCTGCCCCCCTCATCCATCCAGCTGCTCTGCAGGCATGCAGTGCCCCTTGGCTGTATGGCCAGTGTGCTCCTACAGCTCCCAGAAGCTGTAAAAATTCCTAAAAACTGCCTCTTTTTTTTTTTTTTTCTTAAATAACGTTTGCACACGCATTGGGCTGCATTGCTTGTAGCAAACACTTCAACAGGAGCTGGCACACGCAGAGAAAGAAAACCAAGACAACTGAATGGACTGAAAGGCAACAGGAACTCCAGCCCTGACCGTTTGCTGGGGTGATAAAATCCATCCTGCGGTGTGCTTTTGCAGGATGGTTGTTGCCGGCCTCATTTTTGCCATCCTTGGCGGGATGCGCAAAGACCAACCCGCAGCAGTGCTGAAGCCGCTTTTAACTCCAGAAAAAAAGAGGGTGACTTGCAGGAGGGCGCTTCTTTCAAAGCAGCATTTCTTGCCGCAAACCTCCAGCAGCATTTTACACTGCCAGAAATCCTGTTGAGAGAGGCAGAAAAACGGGAGCACGAAGGCACGGGCAGAGGCTGCGGGGCCGGTCCTGGGGACCCCCGGGCAAGAGGGAGGACACCCTCACCCCCCTAAACACGTCCTCTTGGGGGGAGAGGCCCCCGCCGGAGGTGCTCGGGAGCCTGGGCACCAGGGGGCTGCCCCAGGTGCGGGGCCACCGGGGAGCGCTCCCGCCCCTCTCCCCGGAGCGGCGCCGAGGGAAGGGGGAGACGGCCGCGCACCCCCGGGATTTTCTCACAGCGGAACGGGAAGGGAGAGCTTTTAACAGCATTACTACTATTATTATTATGAATTATTATTATTTTTAGCGAGAAGGAAGGAAGCTCGGCAGGAGCAACGCCGCTGCCAGAGAGGAAATCTGGGAATGCAATGCGAGGGAAGCGGGGGCTGCCGGAGGGGCTGGGGGGGGCCGGGCGGGGAGGGGGCACCGGCGCAGGTATCCCGGCGGCAGGAAGCGGGGGCGGGCCGCGGGGCAGGGCGTGCCGGCCGGGCCGGGCTGGGGCCGAGGAGCCGGGCTGAGCCGACCCAGCAGAGCCGAGGGGAGGGGAGCGGGGCGGAGGCGGGGCCGGCCGGGGGGTGGCCGTAAGGTGAAGGTTGTTGCAGTGGGTTCATTAAAAGACAGGGTTCAACTCCTCGTCGTCGCAGAACGCTGCTGTGAGGCTGGTTCCGTGGCGTGCGAAGGGAGAAAAGGGGAAAAGAAAGGAAAGGAAAAAAAAAAAAAGAGAAACCAGGAAAGGGAGCAAAGCCGCAGCTACTTAAAACAATCCTAAGAGGAGCGGGGCAAGGAACGGAGACGGCGGGAAGCACGGGCAGGCTGCGAGCTCCCGAGGCCCAGCGAGGAGGAAGGATGATAAACGTGGTGTCCGTGTGGCTGGTGGCCCTTTGCTTCCAGGCTGCTGTCCCGGTGAGCCGAGCGGAGCGGAGCACGTGGGGCGGCGGGGCCCGGGCGGCGTGCGGGGCCGGGCCCGGGGCGGCAGGGCAAGGGGGGCCGGGGCGGGCTTCGCTGGGCTGGGGGGACCGCCCGGCTCCCCCGTTCCGACGGGTTCTCACAGGGGAGCGGAGCGGTGGCCAGCCCATCCCGGCATGGAGGGCTGCGGTGGCCTTTGTGCTGGCGGCGGGCTCCAGCCCGGCTGCCCCGGCAGCCTTAATTCAAACCAGACCCGCCGCGGCGGCTCCTGACCTGCCGGCGGCTCCGCCCCGGGGCGCTGCGGGCCGGGCAGGCGGCTCTGCCCGGCTCCCCTCACCGGGACCGGGCACCCCTCGGGGCGCCCCTGGAGGGGCCGGGGGTGGGCAGGATGCTCCCGCCGTCCCTCCGGCGTGTTGCGCCCCGGAGGCGGCGAGCGACGAGTCCGGGTGAGCGTGGGCATGTGGCCCTTTGTGGTTCGGCCGTGGCCGAAGTCACGGGTGGTTCCTAAAGCGGAGGCGCTTCTGCCCTGCCCCAGCACAGCCCAGGGGAGCGCGGGCCGGCGGCTCCCGACCGCCTTTGTGCCCCGGAGCCCCATCCCAGTGGAGGGTACGCCCGGGGTCGTTAATTTCTGCCCACTCAAACAAAGGTCCCAGTGCCGGGCTCGGAGCCAGCCCTGCTCCCCGGAGCTCGGTAACCCCGCGGCAGCGAGGCCTGTGCCGTCCCGGCCCCGGTGTCCCGGGAGCAGCTCTGGGGGCCCGGGCGAGCCTTGAGCCGTGGGGAGCGCTGGTCCCGCAGCAGCAGCCGCCAGGTGTCATCCACGGACAGGGGATGGCTCTGCTCTTGCTCCAGCCTTGCCTGCGAGCGGCTTTCCGCGGAAATCTGGCACCACCGCGCTGTGAAATGCTGTGCTCGGTGCTCCAGGTCTGTAGGGTCAGCGGGTGCGGGGCAGGAGGCATTGTGGCTGCCCCTTGATGGACACAAAGGCTCAATCCCATCCCTTTCTCCTGAGGTAGCTCCCCGTTTCCCATGAATGCCCTGCCAGACCTGAGTGTACACCGGTTGTGGAGTCTTCTCCTTTGGATGGAATAGGAGGAAAAAGTGTGAGCAGGCTGGTACATCAGAGTCAAAACTGGCCGTTTCGGTTTTTTTTCTTAAATGGAGTAATTGATTTGAAACTTGTCTGGGGATGAATTGCAACAGCAGTAAGATCCATATCTGGCAGAACGAAATGCACAGGGGAATCTAAGCTGCCCGAAATACCTCCAGTTTCACTGTGCTGTTCTGTTTGTGAACCCAACATGTAGTTATGGGCATGTACCCTTCTGGTCCACATGGCAGTGAGTCGTTATGACATGGCTAAAAATGACAAACATGTGAGCATAGTCAGCACTGTTCCATGGGGAGAGGGCTCTGCTCACAGCTTCTGAATAAAGTGGAAAAGCTGCAGTTAATTTAGTCTCTTTAGTGCATTTGGATAAAATCCCCTCTGTGATAAATACTCCTTACTAGGAATGATAAGATCATGAAGTTAATGCTTGTCTGGAGTTTTCCTGTGTGTCAGAGACACTTGGGCCTGGGTGACACTGCGATCAAGGGGTTTCTGGGGTGAGCACATGGAGGAGCAGAAGTCCTCGGGGCTCTCTGTGGTGACTCAGCACTGAGGTTTTTTCCCTTCTGGTGATCATGTGGCTTTTTTCCCCATGTTGAAATGTCAGGGACATGGACTAAGCTGCCTTTCCCACCCATCTGGAATAATTATACTTTTGCATCAAGTGGCTGAAAACCTCTTGTTTTGGGCACAGAAGCAGAATGACCCTACACAATCCTTTGAATCTGCCATATTGCAGTGTTATGGGTGCTGCCATGGTTGTGTGGGGTTCTTGGTGGTCTGATCGTTGGGAAGGGTGCCACTGCTGCTGACACATCTCTTGGCTCTTGCTGCATGACTTGTCCATGCATATTGTCGTAGAGATAATCAACAGGAACAAGAAAGTGACCAAACAATAGTTGTTTTTTTCCTGAGTACTCTTACCTGCAGAAATGATTAGGGAGGTTCCTGGTCTTCTTCAAGGTGACACTTTATTGCCTAAAACACAATGTGGGAGAGTAATTACCCTCAGTTATGATGGGTGCATGGATTTCCTTGAAATAAGAAGGCTGATACGTTTTAACAGACTAACCTAGTTATTGGCTCAAAGAGAAACTGTTACATGGTATAACCCTGCCACCAAACCAACTGAGCCAAGATGCACATCCTACTACAGGTGGACAATCGTGAGGGGAAACGGGGTTTGATTGTTTTGTCTGGTATGCTGGTGGTTGACATAAGCTTAGCAGAGCAGGCCGAACCTTTTTCTGAGGGTGATGTCATTGCTATCTGAATATAAACTAATTAGAAGAAATTAGGTAGTCCAGCTTAATTATTAAACATGTAGGCAGTGGATAAGGAGGAAACACTTTCTTCTATAGTACATATACAGAGCAGTGTCACAATATGTATTGAGCACTATAAACAGAGATTCTTCATCTAAACGCTTGCTGGTGGCCACTTCACAGTGAAATGGTGACTGTTATCTGGTCAGCTCTGATTAGAGCAGCAACAAATAGACTGGGGTTTGTGTCTTGTAAAGGGGCTCTGGTGCAAATTTGTAGTCTTTGTTCCAGGTTTCTCTCAGTTTCAAGTGTGAGAAGAGCTAACATTTCTAATGGCAGCACTCTGAAACTTCTGGAAACCAAACAATCCTCTCCTAACAACTCAAGACAAGTCACAGCAAGTGCAAGAAACCTGTAAGCCTTCTAAAAGTAAACTACTGCACGAACCTGAAATGTAGGCTGCTGTTTTAGCAGCAAAATTGGTCCATTTTAAATATGTGTTTTGCATTCCTAGTGCTTAGATGTCTCCAGGTTGCCTATATACTAACATTTCATCCTAACCTTGCTTAAAGTGATTCTTGTGTCCAAGAATCCTACTAATGCCTCTGAGAGGGACATTCCACGCTTGTTTCTGGCGTCTAGGGAGCTGGGATTTCAGTAGGGCCTTCCACAGGGAGGAGAGAACTTATTGGCAGAGAGAAGCTAGGACCCCTTTCCTGAGGAGGTGCTGTCAATTATAAAATTGCAGTGCTTCAGCATTGCAGCGTTAGTATTTTTGTCTTAATAGCTCTGAGATAATCAAAAGTAGGAGATGTCTAATACAGCACTCCAGGACAGCTGGAGATTGATGCACTCGCTGTGTGCAAATGGCATTACTCCCTCGGGACAGTGTTCAGCTGATGTTAAGGCACTTAAATGTAGGTGTCTGTGTGTGCTGGGTATTTAAGCCCTCATTAGAGTCATGGTGATGTAATCAGTGGAGCCAAAGAGAGTGATTATCTGACCAGCCCCTACACATCAATTCCAAGGTGAGTTGCTTTGTCAGGGCTTTGTTGACTAGATCTCTTGTTGCCTATAAGGGGAGCCTAGACACCTTTATTTTAGTGCTTTTGTCCGAGAGAAATTTAGCTCAAAGTGATAGACTTGATTTGTGAAACTTTCATTGTAACTCTCTCCACAAACAAGCAGACTGGACAGGTGCTGTTTGTGCCGAGAGAATTAGCAAAGCAGTGGGGAACATCAGCTTTCAGCTAGAACAACAGCTCTTTCCTGTTCTAGTGCAACTGGAATAGTGCCTCCAAACAATTCTGTAGTCTTGCACTGCTAAAGGCTGTGGAAGAAATTGGGGAGTATAGTTGGGTCCTCTCTCAGTGTTCTGAAGTGAGCAGAAAATATATGAGTGGAAACATAAGTGGATGTGTTTTTGAGGGATGGTTGTGAGCTGTTGAGGATGCATCACTATTTAAAGACACTATTTATTTGCGAATTAGAAGTGAGAAACCTTTGTTACTCCTAGACTCCTGATATGGGCAGTGAACTTACAATGTGGAACTTGTTTTGACCAACAGTGCAAGTACTACTTATAAGTTTACTTCTGAGCTGAGAAGATATTCTTCCATGCAGAAAGCATGTGGTGTCTCCTTTGGAGTGCTGAGTGTCAGTTTTGTTAGCAGGTCTCTAAGTTAGAGCCTTCATTTGAACCGCTGCTCTGCTGGCTGCTGGTGTACCGCAGCAATGAGCCTTATCTGGCCTGGCTAGAAACCCAGGATAGTGCACTTTCTACCGTGGAGATGCTAGTGGAAAAGTTACTGTACTGTGAAGCCTCACCTCAAGGTGAGATAACATTTGGACCTCCTACAAGCAACCCTTGTGGGGCAACATCTGCTAATGTGGTGGTTTCCCAACCTCTCCATTTCTCAAGCAGTTCTTGGCTGCAGTCGATGTTCTGGGTCTTGTGGAACCGGCATGGATCCAACGGAGTCTGTTAGCTTGGGCTCCTTGCCATGCTTGACTGTAATGTTGTATCTCACTGCTGAGACCAGTCTCACCAGTGGGGCTTGCTTTGCTGGATGGGAATCAATGTGTTAGTGGGATTTGGATGGAGCTGGCAGTAGAACTTCCCGTTGAGTCACTGGAGTTGCAGTTACAACTGAGTCATGGAGGTGGTGTAAGTCATGGCTTCCCCTGCTAGACTTCTAGCTTGAAACCCCTTTGGGTATTGATCAGTTAAAGAGCTCTTGCTGCTATACTTCTGTGTCTTGCTGCTGTGCTCTCTGGCAGAACTATCTTCTCCATAGCCCTCGTTTTTGCAACATGGTTCTCTTTCATGTCCACTCATTTTGCCTCTTAGTGTTCAGGCTTTTCTAATGAGCGAAAGGCCTTCAGGATTGCTACTGCAGAATGACTCCCAACTAAATCAAGGGTACTGATATAACAGATGGGGAACTGCCTGCCAGCCAGCTTAAAATACTCATGGATGTCTTGCCTTGCATGGAGGCTCTGTGTTCTTTTCATGCTCTACTGTGTAACTTTTCTGCACTATCTGTGCAGTAATGTCAGTGTCTTAATTGTCAGTAGTGGAAACAAAGGCTGACAGTCTTGATTTTTGGCTGTAGGCAGTCCAA